CCCTACACTATGAAAAACAACACTCTTCGTTCTTTTTACATCTAATTGAAGAATACAGTTACATATAAACTGCATTTTTCCAATTTTAAATGCTAAACCAATTTCAATTTTCTTTTAGGTGGTTGTGTACTATAAGAAGCTAAGAACTGAATTGAAGCATTGCATTTCTCTGATTATTGCTCTTGCAGAGAAAGATGCCACAGGAGAGTTTATCAAACTCGTTTTTTGTATCTCCTCACAAGAGAGGGTTGAGTTTGAAAGGTTCGGTTTGTAACAACAATGAGGCTTCCTTCACTGTGACTGAGGATAGCATCAACGATCATGAATTGGCTCAGAGGAAAGCAGAGGAAGCAGGTATGAAGTTTGAACTAATGTTATGATGCCATTGCACATTAGCACTGTTATGTTGTTACAATGCTAGTTTGAACAAATACGGGTGTAAAGTGAACCAATGTGTTGGGAACTTTAATTTTTATCAGCTACTTTTTAGTTTTTGAACTCTGAAAATTATATCTTCAAGAGCATAAGAAACTGTTGCTTTTAAGGAAGTCCCCCTCAAGAACCAAAACTGGGAAGTGGGAACTCAGTTTTAAAGCTGATTGAAACTGGAAATGTAATTTAGGAACCAAAATGCACTGATTTCATCTTCATCGTGCTTTTGAAGTGGAAAATGATGTTTTTGTTGAAAAATTAAATCCAATTTAGGAAGGCAAACACTACAAATTTAAGATGATATTTAGACCAATACTATTTTCGAAAATCGACTGCATTAGGGTGCATTATTTATTTATTTATTTATTTATATTTATAAAAAGTAAGGAGTAGAGATAATTATTCATGTGCAAATAATGGAACTTTTCCAGGAAATGTGGCTGTAAGGAGTGGAGATATTTATTCATTTTCAAATAATGGAACTTTTTCCAGGAAATGCCGCTCAACTCAAACTGTTTTTTCACATACATGTATTTCAAAAATACATTTGATTTCAGTAACTTAGAAAGTTAAAACCATTCATAATCGAACGGTTGATATTTTATCTGGATAAATTAACTTTAGAGCACACATTTAAAACCCAACCGTTCATTCTTCATTCAAAAGTTTGACCTTGTGAATAGGTGCAAAATTGACTTGAGCAAATGTGATGCCTTACACGTTACACCTTATTGTTTAGTTTAAGATAAGGGGGGAAAAGTATGGCAAAAAGAGAAAAAATATACTGTAGTAAGTAACAATAATTATAATCAGATTACAGAAATTAAACAAAGTGAGGGTGGAAAAGGAAAAAAGAATGGGACACAGTACAGATGAAAAGATGGTGCAGCACAAAATTATAGAGCGCATTATGCATTGCCTGAGGATGTGTTGTTCTTAAATGGGATCACTCCCGCAGCGGCCCAGCCCACCAGCATTCCGTGGTGGCGTGGGCCTGTGACCTTGTCATTCAAATTTTGTGATTGCAAGCGTCGTCTTTAAAGATACCTCGTCTACTATAATTTGCTCTTAAATGAATCATGTTTAATTATTATTTTTTAATTTATAACCCTATTTTAAAACTAATTATTATATATTATAGTACTCTAGGTAAAATTTATTATACTTTACAATTAGTTATTCTTTCACTTAAAGTAATACAGTGAGAGTTGATTTCAAACAAAGAAACACCATTAATGCGACACTGCTGTAAATAATAATCATCCCTCCGGCCAGACCACTTTAACTTTTTAACCTTTGTGTTTAATCTTTAGTGATTGTAAATTTGTAATTGAAGTTAACAGAGTTCAAAGTCAAAAGCATAACAGTGAACGCTATTTTTTACAAGAGTGTAAAATGACAGTAGCAATTTGACTGGTGTAAAGATCAAATGAATAATCTCATAGAAAAGTCTATTAATATTTCAGCCCAATTATTATTTACTAGCAGGAAAAAGGGCAATTCATGCTTGCATTATATTAAAATAAAAAAATGAAAAATTATTCATAAAAAGAGGTAGTTATTAAATTATAAACAAATAATAAAATAATTCATATAAAAATCAAAAACCAAAATAATTATTAAAAATTTAATTAAAAAATATTTTTCTAATTTTTTTAAAATAAAAGAGTATAATAATAAAAAAAAAATGGAGATAAAAATAGTTACCAAAAAAGGATATCCGTATAGATATAGATATAGATTATGCATGTGCAGATAATATCGATAATTATTAATTTAATCAACGAATTTACTTTAACCCAACTAGACCTTAATTCTTAAAGAGTAGATCTGTTAAATTTATTTATTTTATAAAAGAAACCAAATTTGTTATTTTGTCTGCGAGATTTTTTTGTTCTTTCGCGAATCACCGTTCTACCTTCTCACAGAAATTTAATGTAAGTTTAGAATTAATTAATTTTTTAAAATAATTAATTTTATAAAATATTGAATATAAAACATTTAAAAAAATAAAAATAAATAAAATCACACACTTATTGAGACCAAAATTATTTTATATATAGCTGAAACGGTGGCGTGTTGATCTGTTTGAATTTTGAAACGAAACGTTGTTGATTTTTTTTCGAGTGTGTGACAAATGACAATGGCATTGTGGGAACAGCTTCAAGGAGATACGAAGCAGCAGAATGGCTTCGGCAAATGGACAATGGCGCGTCTTCATCGCTCGCGAAAGAACCCTCCGAGGAGGAATTCTGTCTCGCACTTCGCAACGGTCTCATTCTCTGCAACGTCCTCAACAGAGTCAACCCCGGCGCTGTCGTCAAGGTTGTCGACAACGACAACCTCGCCGTTCAGTCTGCAGAGGGACCCGCTCAGTCCGCAATTCAGTACTTTGAGAACATGCGGAACTTTCTTGAGGCCGTCAAAGACATGAAGCTTTTGACCTTCGAAGCTTCCGATTTGGAAAAGGTGATGATCACCCTCCTCCCCTTCAATCTTATTATGACTTATCTTATCACATAAGTATTAGACAAAATGTTTGCAAGAACTTAGAAGTATTAAATATTTATCGACTTCGTTCCTGATTTGATATATGTTGATTTGAATGATTTTTCTTCAACACATAGGTATCTAAATAGAATGATTTCTAATATTTGAGAGATTACTAAATAATTTTATTACTTTACCAACTGATTTAGGAGACAGAATTATACTTTTAAAGATGAAATTAATGGTTTATTAGCTTATAATATGTCCAAAAACTTTTTTAAGCGTATTTCAATAAGCTATTCAAGATAAAATAGCTTAAAGCTACTTATACATAAAGGTCTGTTTGAATAAATTCTTTTAGAACCATTTCTAATAGAAAAGAAAAAAATACAAGAAAATTAAATAAACTTCTCTATAAGTTAAAACTAGTTTATGCATAATTTTTTTTTGAGAAGTTATATGAGAAAGCATCTACAAATTATCTACAAATTAACTTATATATAAATTAATTTTAGCTTAGAAAGAAACTTATTTTATTTTTTTCTTTTGGAGAAGATAATTCAAACAGACTAGATGCGTATATATATAAGGACTTATTCAAGGAAATTGTTTATCCAAACACAGCTTAAGATTCTACCTTTGCTCTATTGTGTTAATGGGGTTGAGTGTTTTTTGTAGGGGGGTTCGTCGAGCAAAGTTGTGGACTGCATTCTCTGTTTGAAAGGGTATTATGAATGGAAGCTGTCAGGTGGAGTTGGGGTGTGGAGGTATGGTGGAACTGTCAGGATTACTTCCTTCCCCAAATGGTCTCCTTCCTCCATAATGGGTAATGAGAATGCTGATGAGTATGAGTCATCACAGTATGAACAACTGCTTCAGCTTCTTCGTGCATCTGGCGAGGTTTCAACTGAGGAAACCACAACTGCTAATGCTTTGACTTCGCTTTTTGATCACTTTGGACTCAAACTTCTCCTGGCTTACCTCAGAGAGGCTGATGGGGTTGAAGATCTGCCGCTGAATTCAATGGTAGGTAAGATCCTTTCCTATGTGCTGTGGTTTTTGTAACCTTTGGAAAATTTTAAAACTGTTAAAATGGATTGGTTTTTTGAATTTTTTTTTTGGGATATTAAATCTATGCATAAAGATTCATTTGATTCAGCCAATCTTATTTGGGACTGGGTAAAATTTTGTGTAGGTAATTGATACTTTTCTCAGGAAGGTTGTCAAGGATTTTTCTGCATTGCTTGATTCTCAAGGCACTCAGGTACTTAAACATTTAATGCATCTTTTTGTCTTGCTATGACATTTAGTATGTAAAAGCACCTTCTGTTTGTTTTCAACTTCACAAATCAAGATTGCCAGTTTGGGCTTTTCCTTTTCCATACTTTTGAAGGTTACCAAAACTTAACAATTGTCTGCAGCTTGGACTTTTCCTCAAGAAAATATTGAAAGGCGATACTGGTTGCCTCTCTAAGAGAGAATTCATAAAAGCTATCACATCATATCTTAATCAAAGACGTAGTTTGGCATCAAACGAATCCTCTAAACTATGCACTTGTGGTGGAAAACGTGATAGTAATCAGCAAAATGTCAATTATTCTGCCAGGCATGCTGAGATAATTGATGGCCTGCAAAAACAACTTGAGGTATGTAAGTTGAAAATCAAATGTACCACTTTAGATGATTTATTATGTGATATTAGATCAGCATCATTCACTGTAATTGTTTTTTTCCCCTGCTCCAGCGATTGAAGTATTTCTATGAAGAGATAAAATTGGAGGTCAAACAAATTCAATCTAAGTGGGACCAAGAATTGAGCAGGCTGGGTGATGATCTAGAGACTTTTTTTCCATGAAAATATCGTTTCATGCATGCAATATTCTTTCATAATGATGAGTTGAGTTCTGTGTATTTCTTAGAGAATCATATAAAGAGCCTTGAAGATGCCTCCTCTTCCTACCACAAAGTCCTGGAAGAGAATCGCTTTCTTTACAATCAAGTCCAAGACCTCAAAGGTACACAAGATTCTGAGATACTTCTTCAAGGATCTACTTACACGATTTATCTATTTTAATAGATATGCTGCCTTACAGGAGCCATTAGGGTCTACTGTAGAGTGAGGGCCTTCCTATCAGGACAATCAAATGAACAATCTACAGTAGATTATATTGGAGAAAATGGAAACATAATGATTATGAATCCCCTTAAGCAAGGAAAAGATGCTAGAAGGGTGTTTTCATTCAATAAAGTGTTTGGAACAAGTGCCACCCAAGGTATTTTAATTTTTTGACATATTATTGCAAAATTTATAGGGTCAATGAATACTCTGGGCTACGTGTTTATTCCTAAATGACTCTATGTAAAATGTAGTAAATGTTTGAAAATAATAATGTACAATTTTTAACCCTTTTTGTAGATAATAGAGATTTGGTTATGTAATGAAGAATGAGCAAAATTGAATATTTATATAGTGGATCGTAATACGATAATAATCATGATATCATATTGTAACACATTTGTCCCAAATAAAAAGAATAATCTTTTTTGAAATTTATATCTTCTCATTTGAAGCTTTTATGATGACTTTTCTTTATCATGTGCAGAACAAATATATGCCGACACTCAACCAATGGTTAGGTCTGTCTTAGATGGCTATAATGTATGCATCTTTGCATATGGGCAGACTGGGTCAGGAAAAACGTACACAATGGTAATGTACATAAAAATTCTTGCACATAGATGCAATCTGTGACAATTTTATGCATTTCACTTAAAATTGTAGTGCTGTCCTCATACTAAATTTTGTTTTTATTGTGTGCCTCACAAGAAGGAACAGGATTTATGTGGTTTTGCACTGCAATCAGTGATTTTATTTTCTTGTACTAGTAGAAAACTGTAGATTTTTGTCCACTCTTTGTGGTGCATGTAAGCATGTTACAGGAACTTGAAATCAAGAATCTAACATATGATTTGTTATGGTACAAAATTCTATTTAGTTAGTATCTTGGTTTGGATATGTTTCTTCTTACGAAGGAGACAATTAATATTTTAAAAAGACCTGTATGTTATAAAAACCCTTTTTGAACTTTACATCTTGTTTACAATTTTGTACTAAATATGTTTTTAACAGCACAATGGAAACTGAATTTACTTTTTATTTCCTTGAAACCTTAGGTGTAATGCCATAAAATCATTCGAATTTCCAAGTGGGTTATTTATTAGTCTTCTCTCTTTTCTTATACATGTGTGTTAATACTTCTTTGATAGAGTGGCCCTGATCTGATGACTGAAGAGACGTGGGGTGTAAACTATAGGGCTTTGCGCGACTTATTTCATATTTCAAAGGAAAGAGCAGATGCCATAAAATATGAAGTTGGCGTCCAGATGATTGAAATATATAATGAACAAGTGAGAGATTTATTAGTCAGCGATGGCTCTAACAGAAGATATCCTTAAAGTGCATACTAGTTGTATTTATATTACTTTTTAATCTTTCGCCATGTATAATTGCATATCAAAACATTTTGCAAACTCCAAAAGAGAAAAAAAAAACTGTATCTTTTGCATTGATTTTAGCAATTTCATTTATCTTTTTGGCTCGTTCATTTCCTTAACAAGATATACATTAGATATACGAAACAATTCTCAATTGAATGGTCTTAACGTGCCTGATGCATCTTTAGTTCCGGTTAATTGCACTCAAGATGTTCTTGATTTAATGAGAATTGGTCAGAAGAATCGTGCTGTTGGTGCTACAGCTCTTAATGAGCGAAGCAGCCGTTCTCATAGGTAAAAATTCATCACCATGAATATATATGGCCACTCTAACCATAAAATGTATTTTATTTAATGAATTTCTTTACCATCAATGGCAGTGTGTTGACAGTTCATGTTAGAGGGAGGGACTTAGAGTCTAACTCCATTCTTAAAGGCTGTCTCCATCTTGTGGATTTGGCTGGAAGTGAGAGAGTGGACAAATCTGAGGCGGTTGGTGAGAGACTAAAGGAGGCCCAGCATATAAATAAATCTCTTTCTGCACTTGGGGATGTTATCTCTGCTTTGGCACAGAAGAGTCCACATATTCCTTATAGAAATAGCAAGCTCACACAAGTTCTACAAGATTCATTAGGTAACAAGCAGATTTAAATTGAAATTACCCCTTTCTTCTTTTGTATACATTCCTCATGATACTTGTCGGGAATAACATTAAGAGTTTGGATTCTTTTCTATTTTAGCTTGGACCACCTTATTGTTCTATCACATATTTTTGCCCTCTGTTGTTTTAATCCTTTAGGAATTGGGAAGGGGTTGACATTCCGTTGATTAATATTTTTCAATTTAAATATTGATATTAATGTATATGGATAAGGCCATAGTAGTTTTCTATTCTGAAATTCCATTAAGAAAAACTTAACCTATGTTTTTTGTTTTCCATATCAATAGGTGGCCATGCAAAAACCTTGATGTTTGTTCATATAAATCCTGAACTCAATGCTCTTGGAGAGACAATTAGCACACTTAAGTTTGCGGAGAGGGTTGCAACCATTGAACTTGGGGCTGCCCAAACCAATAAAGAAACTGGTGAAATCCGGGACCTAAAGGAAGAGGTTCGGCTGTTGGTCATAACTAGAGCAATTTTAAATTTAACTTGGTCAATATAGCCTAACAGTTTGAACATTTTATAGATATCAAATATCAAATTGGCATTAGAGAGGAAGGAAACTGAACTACAACAATGGAAAGCTGGGAATGCACGAAATGCCATAGAATCTCAGAAAGCACCAAGAGCTGTTTCACCTTTTCGTTTGCCCAAAAATGTTACCAGTGACAGCATGAAGCCTGAAAATTGTCAAAGACCCATGGATGACAGAAGCTCTGAGGTTATTGCATGCATGCTGATATAAACTTTAATGATAAATTTGTGTAAATTTATATTAGGAAATTATATCACACTGAAGTGTAACTCGTACTCTTTAAATCTGAAATTATATTTTCAGGCTAAAACTTGTTCTTCGGGTAAGCAAAGAAGGTCAAGATTTCCCTCAACATTTATAGAGAAGGACTCCATGCCAAAAATGTCTCTTGTAGCTGAAGAAAAAATAGTGAGCTCAGGGAAAGGTAGATCACCATCACCTCCAGTCAAGAGGAGATCAATATCCACTGATAGAGGGTCTGTCATTAAAAGCAAGGTCAAAAGCGACACAACAGACAGCCAACCAATATTAAAGCATCTATTTCCAACTAGAGTACTAGTAAATAAATCTCTAGTCACAATGCCAATGGTCTCATCCACAGACAATAACTCAAGGGTGAATCTGCATTCACATGAGCAAGTGAAACAGAACACTTCTGAAACTCTCTGCAACCTCCAGAAGGTAAACTCCAGGAAAGCCCATCAAGAACATGAAGAGGAACAATTCAAACAAGTTGCAGTAAGACAAGGTGGTACTAGGAAAAACAAGGCTGACAGTAAGGCCAAGGTTAAGCATCATCAACAATTGCCCTTCAGGATTCAAAAGCCTGATATGATACCTATTTGTGACATGGATATTGGCCGTGAAATGACCATGGAGGCACCTCGAAAGAACGATTTCTTTGAGCCAGAAAATGATGTAAGCTTCATGGAGTCTGCAGTCAATGGTGTTGTAAATGTTAAAAAGATACATCAGAACATATCTAGGAATTCTCAGAACATTGGATCAAGGTATGGCTTAAAGAATCATTAAAAAAGTTTCTCGTTTATATGTATGTTTTAATTAAAAATTAAATTATTCATAGCCTCATTGGTAAATAAGCATTTTTGTCACATGCAGAGGAATAGTGCAAGCAGCTGAGCCTTTATTGTCCAGCAAAGTTGAAAACAGAATTTTACATGGTTCAGGTCGCAATCTTAAGGAAGGCATCAATACTACTTTGCCTGAATCTAGAAGGAGCCGATCTACGCCACGTGGAAAGTTTTTTGTTTTATCTTGAGGATTCCAGGTTAAAATTTGTTAATTTTTTTATATTATTTATTTTTGTACAGTGACAACTGTTGATGTGCATGTTGGAGTACCGACTCACATAATTTTATTGACTAAGAGGTCTTGAGGTCAGTTTGTGCGACCTTTCCTCTGTTTTCGTGTTCTGATTATGCAGATCCTTTGTAATTTAAATTTTCGGATGTTAATAATTTTCTTGAAGCTTTGGTTTTTAATCGAGCCGAATGGTGTGATCCCTAAAGCTGACTTCACCTAGTGGGATATAGTTATATTATTGTTGTTTTATGTCAACATTCTTCTGGAAACTTGGTGTTGTTCTACATTGATAATGTATTTTTTTTTTGAAAACTACATTGATAACGTGTATTTACTGCATTTTATGAATTCAGCATCTCATTACAAATTCAACAAAAGTAACGGAAGAAATAAAGAAAAATATTGAAAACCTTGTAGAATTATTACAATTGTACAAGGGTTGTATAATGTTTTTTATTCTTTAAAATATTATAATTTTATTGTTTAGTCTTTCACTTTTTTTTTTCTTTTTACATTTTACAAATTCACTCTATTTTTCTTTTGTCAAAAGCATCTACTGTTAGTATGTTAATATTCCATTTGATATCAACGTTTAGCGTATGCATGTCTCACATCATCAGTCAAATACTTTGACTCGAATTATGCTCCCCGTGGGAATTAGTAATTACGATAGGATGCCACATGTGTACTTAATGGTTTTAAAAGTGGAGAACCAACTAAGTGACCTTGTCTAAAATTCTAAAATGAAGACTAAATAGTAAAATTGAATTATTTTGAGGGGTCTTTACCATGTCGCTCAATAAATCTGTTCAATTCTAAAAACAGAAGAATTTGTAAAAAGGATAACCAGGAACTGGAGTCATTAAAATGATTTCCAATATGATAATTGATTATATGTTGTCTATTATTGTTTTCAAAATAAATATAAACTTGTGGCAAAATAAAATAAAATAAATAAATTTAAGTTCATTCTCATCAGAATATTTCAATTAGTAATTATATTTTTTGATATATGTGTATATATATATATTAAAATGTTGGCTAAATACCTATTTTGGTCCCTTATAATCTTTTTTTGTTTCAATGTAGTCCCATTTTTATTTTTGGTCTCAATTTGGTCTCAAACTAATTAATTGGTTTCAATTTAGTCCCTAATAAATTAATTGGTTTCAATGTGGGACTTCCGTCCAAATTTCTTTAACGGAGTTAACTGTTGCATAGGTGGATGCCACGTGGATGCCACGTGGATGCATAGGTGGATGCCACGTAGATGCCACGTGGATGCCAATTTTTTGAAAACACCTGGAACCAGAACGGGTCGTTCTGGTTCCAGACTGCCAAACATAAACGATCAATGATTATAGTTCACGGTTGTGAATCATGGAAGGAAAAAGACCCAACGTACAAAGTATTTCAAACACTGAATTTGGTAATATTGTCAATGAAAATTGATAATTTCAATTGCTAAACAGTTAGGCTATACAATGTATTATTAATGACAATGCAATGTATCACTAAAGGATGAACCACTTACTACCAAATTGACACTATACAGTAAAGGATGAAATGACACTATATTGTTAATGAAATGACACTATACAGTAAATGATGAAATGATAATATTAATTATATTTTAATTATGCTGTTATATCTAATATAACAAATATATTAATATTTTTTTATATTTTATTTTATTGTTTAATTGTTTTTATTTTGTGGTAAAATTATTTTCATTTTTAATGAAGAAAAAATTTACTTCAATAGTAAGTCTTGATAGATTTATTCTATTTAATAATTAATGTTCTATATCAAATTTTTAAGAATTTAATTGTTAAATTAAAAAGTTTTTCATGTATAGATCAAATTTATAAAAAGTTTTAAAAAAATTAAAAATTATATAATACTTCGTTAAATTAATTCAAATTAACATATAAAATATTTTTATTTTAAATGAATGTAAAAATTTAGAAGACACTAAAAGAAAATAAATTAATAATTTTATTATGTTTATCCTATTAATTTTTATCATTTTATTCATCTAATTTTAAATAAGTTACAAAAAATTATAAAGTGACACTTAAATATTTCTTCATATAGAAAGAGAAAAAGAAAATGTTATTACTCTATTTATAAGGCAATTGTATTTTATAAAAATAAGTAATTTTAAAATTTTTACCATAAAATTTTTTTTCAAAATTATTATATTTTGTAATAAAATTAATAAATAATATTCTATTCTCAGTTTTGGAACGGACCATTCTGATTTTAGAACGACCTGTTCTGAAACCAGAACGGCCCGTTCTGGTTTCAGAACAATCTGTTCTGGTGTACTCTTGGTGTGTAAATTTTTCATTTGGAACGACCCGTTTTCGATGCAAAATTAACACACCAAAAGCGCATCCAGAACGGCCCGTTCTGGTTTCAGAACGGGCCGTTCTGGTTCCAGGTGTTTAGCCTAAAATAAAAGCGGGACTACATTAAAACAAAAAAAGATTATAAGAGAGCAAAATAGGTATTTAGCCTAAAAAGTTTTAACTTTCCAAAAGCACCCTGTTTAAAAGCAATCCCTTTTAACATCTAGACCAACACCTTCCTTAACTGGCTTTTTCCAAATGTGACATTTACTATAATTAATTAGGTTGAAAATCATGCAGAAAGCGGCTCTAGTTGGGTTAAAGTTAGAAGTGCAATTTGTTTCCATTTTCATATTTCAATTTGTGAAACATTAGTCTATTAATAGATAAAAGCAATAAAAAGGATCTTCTGTTCTTGACACCTCGTTGACAACCTCTGTCTAGATTTTTTTTCCACAAATCCATTCTTAATTTTCACGTATGTCGGAACATTACAGCTATTGCACATAATTTCCTAATATTGCGATTCGTTAAGCATTCAAACCTCTGAGGCTCTGACCAAGAACTCCTGTGATGCCGTTCGGGTTTTGTTAGAAGCATTGTTGAAAGATGATGGTTCTGTTGTTATTATATTGTTAGAAGCATCTATGATAGGTTTACAAATTATAATTATCTTTGACCATTGGAGGCCAAAGAGGATCAACTATAGGTCCTATAAGAAAATCATATATACATTTGCATGCTCAATTTATGTAGCCAATGGCTAATTCTCTAGTAGAAGCTGTGATGTTAACCGTTCCAGAACCACCATCCAGGAAGAAAACATGCAAGGATCAAGCCACAAAAACAGATGACCCTGAGAATTCTGTCACCTTTGTTTATCAGACCAAAGTAGCAGAATCATTACGATGTGTAACAGTTTCATGGTGCAAGAACCCCACAGACCATTTCCTTTCCATGAGCGTGGAGAACACCTTGGAAGAAAACAAGTACACCTGCAAGATTGATTTGGAATCAGGGCAGTCTTGGGGGAAAAAGGGTCTTAGATCCTTTGAAATACAAGGTGCAAGAGTAGACATTTTCTGGGATCTTCGGAAGGCGAAATTCAACACAAGTCCACAACCATGCTCAGGTTATTACGTTGCCTTGGTGTACAAGAAAGAGGTGCTTTTGTTATTGGGGGATTTGGAGAACGATGCTTATGATAGAACCAAATCAAAACCATCCCCTGAAGAGGCTACCTTGTTGTGCAAGAGAGACAATGTGTATGGTAAGAAGCTGTTTTGCACCAGAGCCATTCTGGAAGATGGTAATAGTAAGACAGAACATGATGTTGTGATTGAGACTTCCCTTTGTGGGCCTGATGATCCAGAAATGTGGATTAGCATAGATGGGATGTTGGCCAGTAGAATAATGAACTTGCATTGGAGATTCAGGGGGAATGAAATAGTGATGGTTAATAATTTGCCTGTGCAAATATTTTGGGATGTGCATGATTGGCTCTTCAATGACCTTGGTTCTGGCCCTGCCTTCTTTGTTTTCAAGCCAGGTTTTGTGGAAACGACTAGTGATTCTAATGGCAGAGAATGCTCAGGAAGAAGCGGGGGTAGCAGCATGTGTGAATTGCTAGAGGAGAATCCATCCTCCAAAGGTTATTGCCATTTTCTATATGCTTGGAGAATGGATTGAGATTAATTTGTGTTCTACAAAAAGTTGTTTTTTTGTTTGTTTGTAGTAAAGTATAAGTGCTACTTTCATACATTTTCTTTATTACCATTTGACATAGTTATTGACAACATTCTCTTGTTCTTTGCCTTTCTTTCTTTTTTTTTTTTTGAGCTATTTGATATATATGACTAGAAAAACATAGTAACTAAAACTAGGTTTAAATTATAAAAAGGATCTTCAGAATTAGTTTAGACCTATAACACTATTTATACCAAAATCATAACACAACCAACAATTTAACATGACTTTTAAAAAAAATGTTAATACCATCTGATAGTGTTTTAGGTGATCTTGTAATTTTTTTTAAAAAAATATAAAAATAAAATATTTTTATCTATCTATTTATAATATAGAGACTAAGCCGCGAGATATGATATTTTCTCATTTCACAATTTACTACAATTTATTAAATCTATAAAAATCAATACCTTTATTCATTATTAAACTCTCATTAAAAAATAATTATATTGTTATCTATTTATTTATAATATAAAGATTGAGTCGTGGACTATGACATTGTCATCTTAGATTTATAGAGATTATATGTTCTTTTACATCAACATTTTTTCTTATTAATAATATAAAAAGATTGAGCTATTATGATGTTGTCATCTCATATTTTTAGAGCTTATACATTTTTTTACATCATCATTTTTGTTTATATGACATATTTCTTCTATTTCACAATTTGCTACAATTTATTGAATATGTGAAAATAAATGTTTTTTTTATTATTAATTATTAAACTCTATTTAAGAATTATTTATATCATTCTCTATTTATTTATAATATAAAAATTGAGCCGCGAGTTATGATGTTTTCATCTTATATTTCTAAAGATCATAGATTCTTTCATATCAACATTTTTACTTATTTATAATATAAAGACTAAGCTGTAGACTATGACGTTGGCATCTCATATTTTTAGAGACTATAGATTTTTCTCTCATTTCACAATTTGCTATAATTTATTGAACCTATGAAAATAAATCTTTTATTCATTATTAAATTCTTTTTAAAAATTATTTATATTATTTTCTATTTATTTATAATATAAAGGCTGAGTCATATTGCCATTTCAAGTTTTTAAAGATTATAGGTTATTGCACAACAATATTTTTTATTTTATGACCGTTGCTTTTATTTTACAATTTGCTATAATTTATTGAATCTATGAAAATAAATATTTTTTATTTGTTATTAAACCTTCATTAAAAATTATTTGTATCATTCTCTCAATCATCTTTTTCTTTTCATCTAATCACCTCTTATATTTTCTCAATTTTTTTTTCTTCTCATCCAATCATTTCTCATATCAGTCATAAATTCCCCTTCCATTTTATTTATCATTTTTTTTCTTCTCGTTCTTAGCATTTTTGCTTAAATAACATACTTCTTTCATTTCACAATTTACTACAATTTATTGAATATATGAAGACGACTTTCATCTCTAAATTTTACTTAAATCTCTCTCTTTTTTTTTTGTCAGTCATTGTCAAACCAAACTATATAATAAACATTATCATTCCTTGAGAAAGGGGTGATGCAGATGCACAACAACTACCTGTTACAATTGCACTTCAGAATTCAGATAACAGTTTTTGTTATTAATATAATAAAATTTTCTGTTTTAATAAAAACTCTTTATTTTTATTTTTATTATGTGTCCACAATCACACATTAAAAAATTGATTATTAGAATATAATTCATGGGTGGGGATTGGGTCAAGTGGGGAGTTGTGAATATTCTTTCTGGCTGTCATAGAAAGACGGACCAAAGTCCAGAAAGCCCATTTTAACTGGGTCATCAAGAAATCGGTCCAATAAAATTTAGCCCAGCCCACCATCGGTATCATAGATAAGTGCTAATTCGGGCCGGCCCAAACATCAGGACTCGAGACCACAAAACAAAATTGTGACAAAAAAAAAAACTGAGCGGAGGAGAAACGGACCAAAAATGGGGAACCCTTGGTAGACAGGAATTACGGGTTCGTGAACATGGCAGGTTTCGCGGGAAACATCGGATTCAAAATCTCATGCCACCTTCCCTCCCGCGTTTTTTCAATTCCCCGGTAATTTCTTTCTCTCTTTTTTAGCTACCTCCATATTTGGCTACTGAAACAAAATGACAGAAAAGCTTTTTTTTTTTTTTTTTTTTAATTTTTTTTTAGTAAATTAGTAATGGGGTTCTAATTTAG